GATGACTGCAGCCTGTTGACGCCAGCCTGCTTGGAAGTCTCATGGGGCTACGGCTAACGGAATATCCGCTTGGCTCACGTAATGACAGAGTAGCAGAATCTAAAAGAAAGCGGGGGGGTTTTGTACGCGGTGTTGGCGGTCTCATGTGCGTGGAATGCGAAGAGAAGCCTGTCGTCATGCAAGGATGGCCGTCGCTGTGGCGGCGTAAAAAGTTGCAGCGGTGGATACACGAAATCGATGCCACCAGCAAAAGACGGTGCCCGCTTGGGCGTAAATTTAAATGTAGTCCAGCAGATTTGCAACGAGGTGAGGCTGTAATTAAGGGGGAAGGCATTCTTCAGAGGAACCTGATGGATGAACTGTCAATGAAGGCAGAGCAGGGCCTTTTTGTGACGCTGCTCGCCACACCTGATATTGTGAGGGGTGCCAGTGATGGGCTGCCACTTTTGGAGGGATGCTCGGCGTTGTGGTATGAGAGAGCCGTTGGGGGAAAATTCATTCACCGCCACTACTCCGACAACAACAACAACGACAACGACAACAAATGAGAACAGACAGCTCCACATGAGGTTTGTGGCACCGCAGCAGCGTGAGGCATCTGCGAAAACCACGACGTACCCTAATAAAGAGGCAAATAAACAAAAGGACGCCTCACCCGCTCATCCTTCTTTTATGAATTCTTTTTAAGCGTCTTCATCCTCGTCGTTTCTGTCATCATTCTCCAATGCCGATTAGCTGAAGAAATATGACTTTGTTTTGCTGCCACACGAAAACTCTGATGGGGCGTGAGGGGGTGGGAGTGCTTTTTTTTTGTTTTTATGCATACTTTGGGGAAAACTCCATTGGAGCCATTATTTATATCAACTTGTTTTTGTTATTCTTTTTGTAGTTTTTTTTGTTAGTAACTTTTGGAGGTGTAGTGTGCACGTAGGAGGTGTGTGTGTGGCCCGTACTCCCTTCTTTATTTTTTATTGGAAGCATAGATAAGACCCCCGAATGACGAACAGCGAGTCGACGACTACTCATAGTGAGGCTTGGGGGTCCGCTGAAAATCCGGTGAAGCATGTGCGCGCCCGCACCCACTCAACGGACATTGGAGATTCGAAGAGGACCGTGGCGTTTGGCGAGTATAGACGCTCTTGGCTGACGCCGTTCTTCGGCTCCAACGATTCGGAACCGCAGTTTTCGTGGAACGCCGTACACCCATGTAAGCTTTTTAGTCGACACGTGCATGAGTGCTTGGAGCAGCATGAAAATAACGTTGATTTTTGCCAGACGAGGGTGGCCCTCCTTCAGTCATGTTTAAATGAGTTTAATATGTAGGAAATGTAGGCGATACCAATCGGGTCAGGGGGTTTGAGGGAGGGGGTATTAAAGGGGGGAGAAATGGGGGACGGGGGGGCCGTGTGCAGAGTAAATGTAGAAGGAATTTATAGGACGGGTGAGACCACACGCACGCACAAAACGGGGTATTGCGAGGCGTAATTGAGTTGAATTGTTGTTTTTGTTTTGATGTTGTTCTTTTCGAATTGTTGCTTTTCGCTGAGGCCTGCAGGGCGGCGAACATTACATTTATTTCTTTTTCAGTGCGTGCTCTTTTTGGCCGGATAAACCGCATATTATTGTCTCCCTCGTCTCCGTTACAAATGGATACAACATGTGTGCATGCATGCATGCATTCACATGTACTTGTTTCACCTCCTTTTTTTTTTGTTTCTTTCTTTTTTTTTCTTTTGGCTGGGGATTTTTATTTTATCCCACGTGGTGGGTGGTGGGGTGTTTGTGTGCACACACGAACATACACACACAAAAACAAAAACAAAGGAGGAGGCACCACTCACTCTCTGCTGGTGGGTGGCGCGGGAAGATGCAACCTGTCCACACGGTCAGGACGTCTGACGAGAATGACACCTATGTTCTTGACGGTTGCGTCTGCAACGATGGCTCCTCATTGTGTCTTTCCGTTTCCGACCACACAATCCGATGCTACGACACCCACACCGCGACTTTTCTCTTTACTCTCACGGGGCACACATGCGCCATCAAAGACGTGACGACACCAGCATCCCAGGCAACGGTCCTGTACTCCTCGCAGGAGGATACAGGGGTTATGATTTCGGACATGCGGCAGGTGAATCCTGCGCACTTCCTGAGCGAGTTCTGCGGGACAGGGGCGACGGGTGGCACAGTCGGCGTGACCCCCAATGGCCGCTTTCTTGGTGTTGCCGTGAATGGCGACACACACATCGTGGACACGCGCATGTGGCATACGACGCATGTCATAGCAAATATGCACTTGGACGAAATTACTCGACTCCGTTTTCTCGATGACACGGTGTACTGCTCGGCGGGGGAGGATCAGATGATCAACTTCATTGACTCCGCCTCTGAAGTTGCAGAGAACGACATGCTTCTGCAGGCGATTTCCTGTGGGGAGGTTGTGACGAAGATGACGGCGTTTTCGCATCTTGGCGTCTTGGGGCTCGTTGGCTCCTGCGAGAATGCATACCTCTTCCCCTTTGACTTGCAGGAGAAGGAGGTGCGCTACCCGCGCCCCGACCAGGCAACATATCTTGTGGAAATGTGCGTTCTCGCTGGGCAACCGTACCTAGTACGTGGGGTGCGAGACGACGACGGGAATGTCGGGCCGCTTTCTCTCATGAATTGGGCCACCCGTGATGTGACGCAGCTGGCGCCTGTGCACCGAGAGACCTGCCGTATGGCCATTGGCGTCGGTGATTGTCTCGTCACCGGCGGTGAGGACGGTTTGGTGGCATTCTGGCACACAAATGACACGGCGGGTGCCGTGACCGCGACGACGCTTACGGATGCTGCTGCGTTAGGGCGGGGGGTGATGAAATCACGCCATCACGTGACGAGACCGCTGCGGTCAATGCCGTACGCAAAATAAGGCGATTAAACAACGGTGAGGGGCGGGGAGGGGTCTACTCGTCTACTCCTCAATGCTAAGAACTAATTCCAGTAAGACCGAAGAAAAAGAGCACACGCACAAACACACACACACTTGCAGGGAAAATACATCTGTGATTTCGAAAGAACTGGGCATTTTAAGCCTGCTGTGTTTGGGCTTTAACGATGGATTGGCCGACCCGCATGTTTACCACAGCGTTTATTTGAGCATTATTTCCAGTGTTTTTTTTTTAATGTTATGATTTTTATATGTGAGAGATTCTCTCTGTTGTTTGTTGCTCTGCTTTCATTCATTAGACTGCGTTGATGTTGTGTTTTCTTTTTGTTTCTTTTAACTTTTTCATTCTTTTTTTTTTGAACACACATAAATAACATACATACATGCATTGTGTGCACGCAGAGTTCAACAATATCCGCCGCAGGATCACCAGTATCATACAAGTAGTGCGAGCGAAACATGAGCTTGTCGGTGTCCCCCCCAGCGAACGGGAATGGGGCAGATGTAAATGAGTCACTTCCAAGCCATGCACCGGCAATGGGTGAAACTTCCGCGGACGACGCATCGCCAAGACCACGGGAGGAAAAACAGCAGCAACAGGATGAGAGTACAGCGCAGGATGACGCAAGGGGCACGGCGACGCCGATACATTCCGCCATGAAAGGAAAGAGCGGACGGGACCGCAGTACCGACATGAAACCACGCTTCAACCCCGAGGTATCTGTGATTGAGACACCCAGCTACTTTCTTGTGATGAACAACGAGGAGAGCGGGGACGAGGCTGAGGAGCTTGCTGTATTCAACCGCCTTTACGAGGAGGCAAAGTCGCGGCTTGAGCGCTCCAAGGCCGCAGCGACGGCAGGCAAAGATGGTGAGGTTGAGGACCCCGAAGCGAAGGAGTGCACATTCTCTCCTGTGGTATCAGATTACGCCAAGCAACTGGGGAAGTACACGAAGTTTGCAGAGTTCTTACAAACTCAAGAGGAACGCCGTAAAGTGAGCGCCATGCATTTTGAGAAGAAAAAGGAAAGGGTGTTGGGAGAAGATTGCGTGCCCCTCTTTGAGGACATGCCGCGGAAACACAGTTTACGTATCATTTCTTACTTGGAAAAGGAACGTAATTACAAGGGCCCCATAAAAGGATGGCGTGAGCGTTTTCGTGCGTACATGAATAAGCTGCAGGAGCAGGACCGGGAGTTGAATCCGAACAAACCCAAAACCAATGCAAGTACACCGTCCGTGCACAGTGGTATTACTCGTGACGACGCCGTGTTTGATCGACTCTACGATGAGGCTCGTGTGCGGGCGGTGTCGCAGCGCGTTGTGGCGATGACGCAACTGGAGAGGGAGTCCCGGGAACTTTACCGCCCCAAGACAAATGAGTCCGAGTATAGGGGTAGCGATGGCCACAGCAGTCAAGTTTCCCCCTCCAAGGGGAGAAGCAACAGCCGCTGCAGCAGCAGCAGCCAACGCCTCTCTAGTCGCGGTGGTCATCTGGCTTCTGTCAACAGCGATTCCATGAGCAGCGTTTTTGAGGAACTTTACGCCATGGGCGAGGAATACCGTCGTCGCCGGGAAATACGTGCAATGGAGGCCATCGAGAATCAGGAGGAGTTTACGTTTAAGCCGGCGACAAACCCTGAGAGCAGCAAGATCATCATGGAGCGTGCCATCGCCCGCGCCAAGGGAGAGCTGCCGGAGCGCGCTGCGAGGAAACAGCGTCTCGACGCTGCGGATGAAAATGACGGGAATGAGACAAACGCACGGGAGCGGAAACGCAACATTAGGTTCAACCCCGACATTTTCTGTTCACGTTTGCAGCGAAAAGAATTCGAGCGACTGAAGCGACTTGCCGAGCTCCGGCACCAGTTGCGAATGGATGAGGCGTCAGAGTGCACATTTCGTCCAAGCATCTCCCGCAACAGCCAAATAATGGCAATGCAGAAGGGGTACGGCCAGATTACATTTGCCCCGTCCTTGCACTCTTCCCCACGGCATTCTCGCCAGCACACGGCGGGAAGTGGGGAGGGTGGCCAGGAACATCATGACGCTCGTAATGGTGACGGCGACGACGACAATGCCTTCCAGCGAGATGTCTACCGCCACCACCAACAACGCAGACAAGAGATGGCTGGCCGTGGTAACAGCAAGGGGAATGCGGACGACAGTGTCAGGAGGAGCAGCAGCGGCAGCAGTGGCGGCGGCGGCGTGAACGAGCCGGCCGGACGCTTATTTGATGCCGAGGAGGTGACCGAAGGTTACATCTCTGCACTTTCGTCGGAGATTCAGGGCGTTCTGTCACAGTGGACGGAGGCAGCGGAGCGTGCAAAGGCCGCCATCTGAGAGGCTGAAGAGGGGGAAAGAACGCATGGAAAGGCAGAAAACGAAAAGAGCAAACAAACAAAAAAAATAGGCATCCAATGAATGGATGGAAAAAGAATAAAGAGATGATTTTCTTTTTCCAAAAATATATATAAAACAAAAACAGACAAAAAGAAGGTTTGAATTGTAGGAGGAGGGAAAAGGACGAGGAGGAGACATCATTGGTTGCCACTAGTACGATTGTTTTGTCGCCATGTAACATGCCTATGTTGGACGATTTCATGATATTTATGTTTGTATACCAGTTATTTCACTGTACTCATTGGACGTTGTAATTTCTCTCTCTCTCTCTCTCTCTGTGTGTGTGTGTGTGTGTGTGCGGGTGTCACATTGGCAGTGGAAGATGTCACGTTTTTAATTAAAAAAGTCTCCATTTATTTATTGATTTATATTTTATTTTTCCACTTATTATTATTATTATTATTATCGACTGTATTCATGAATAATTCTCTACCAAGATGTCTAGGAGGCGAGAATGCTGACTTTTTTTTTTTTTCAAAATTTTGAGTAGAGTAACGATATTTGTTCTGTACGTGCACATATACCTGTAAGCCTCTTTCTGTGTGTATGTATGCATGTGGGGGGGGCTGTTTTTTTTTTTTTTTTTTTATCGGGGACGACACCCCCTTCCCCCCCCACAAAAAAAAAAAAAAAAGAAGTGATAAGGGGAAAGAGAAGTAAATTTTTCTTTTTTCTTTGCTTGTTTGTGTGCTTTTCTTTTTCTTCTTTTTTGCGTCCGTGTTTGTGGGGTGGGAGGAAGTTAAATACGCGGAATAAAAGCAAGGAAGGTAACAGGAGGAGTATGCAAGGAAAAACAAAAGCAGGAGACACGGGGGGAGAACGAAGAGGAGAGGGGAGAAATATGAGTGGTGAAGAAGACTGGCGGCTTCGCGTGGACATGCCGTGGGCTGTGGCGTGCGTTGGTGCTCTTCTTGTGGCACTCGGTGTGCACTACAAGGCACTCTGCGAGGACCGCACCGATTTGTCGCTGCCGGAGCTCAGAGCTTCCATGGAGGCGAAGTGCCGTTTGTTGGGCGACGTCTTTGAGCGCCCCGTGATGGAGCCGTTCCTTCATCCTGTGCCCTCACAGTTTGGCGTGGCGGTGTGGGTCGAGCGGGAGCAGTGGGCATCGCCGGTGCACGAGGCACTTGATCGCATCGAAGAGGCCATTGGCCGGGGCTCATACAAGGCTGATGCCGCGGGATCAGGGGCTCGTAGGCTGCGGCTCATTCAGCGCATAGTGCGCGTGGCCACAAGCAGGCCGCATAGTGGCACGCAGGATGACAGTCTCTCTCTTGTTTCGGTCGCAACGGCCCAACAGCTGGGCTTGGGGTTGGCCCAGCACGTATGCACGGTGGATTTACGTGGTGAGGTAATAATGCACGGCATCAGCTTCTTCCGCCGAGCTTCATCGTCTGCTGGTGACTCGCGGGTGCAATGTTTCTCCTTTGATGAGAGGCAGGCGTATTGCACCATTCCGGAGGACGTGTCTTCGACTTGGTTGTCGCGGGAGGTGCCTGCCGCTGTTGCTACTTTGATGTCCCGTTGGCTGCAACTTGATAGTTTTCGTGACGCAAGCACCGTACGGCGCTGGGCGTTGGAGCGTGAGGCGCAGAGCTGCAAATACGCCCTGCGCGCCCTGCAGCAGCTGGAGCTCTCCGTGAATGCCCATCCCGAAATGCCGGCGCCGTTGGATGTGGCTGAGACGATCGACCGATTGCAGTCTTTGATTGACGCTGGGGAGCTCATACAATTTGCACGGGCCGCCGACGATCTCCAGTTCCACCCGCTCCTCCTGCCCCAACTGTACATCCCATGGGATCAGGCGCTTGTAATTCATTTCTCTATCCTGCTGCCTGTGATGATGACGGGAATTCTCGGAGTGCGCATTACCGTCGCAGCCCGAAGGCGGCAGCGCGCAGTCGCAAAACTACAAGAAGCGACGGAGGCGAAGAAGAACGACTGAGCAAAGGGCGCATCAAAGAGAGGAGGATGATGTGCTCCTTTTTTCCCTCTACATGATTGTGCGTCTGCCTTCTCTGTATGTAACCGTTCCCTTGGGCCTTGCGATGTTCATGAGTCTTTTTCCTCCGTCTTTCAGCCGCCTGGGCGTAAACACATTACATTGCATTTGGTGCCTGACTGCATGCCATTCATTTCCTTGCATTTCTTTTTTTCTCCTTTCTTCTTCTTGTTAATGAGCAGCGCACCGTGCGCATTATCTCTATTTTTTCTTTGTTTGCATGGTCAAGGAATTGCAGGCGTCGACCGAGACGGAGAACGGCCGATCGGCCCCCGGAAACACGGATGAGGCCGGCACGGACATCATCACACAGCAGCTTGCACGTGCGCGTCTATGCAGCCACAACAAAACAAACAACAACAGCAACAGCAACAACAGCAACACCCCGACCAAACAAAACCCCAGCGCCGGTACCAGCGCCGCTAACAACAACAACAACAACGGTGAGGGAGGAACTGGCAAATTTGCCTTTGGGAATTTCTACAACGTCAGTATTGACGGCGACGACGGTGACAGAGATTTCCTCAAGTGCGCGGAGATGATTGCAAACATCATTCTTTCGCGGCAGTCATATAAGAGTTTTGACAAGGGTGAGATGGAGGGTTTTTTTGGATCGGATGCCACGGACTTCATCGTGCAGATAGACGTCCAGCAGGCGGGGGAGGAGAGTGTTCTGAGCTTTGATGGCGGCATTTTCCGTTTTAAAGGCATGAGGACTAAAATCGTCCCATGGGAGACATATGTACGTGATGTTAAGGCGGTATTTAGCGCCATTGAATCGGGTCCTTGCCTTTCTACAGCGAGGACACGTCTTACCACAATTGCCGAGAAGTCACGCCTTTACTCTCTTCTTAATGGTGGGGTGAATTTGAGTTGTAGCAAAAAGACGTTCGGGGGTGGAATATATTCCATCTGTGCCCGCGTGGACAACGCTTTGCACCTACCGACCTCCGTGACGGCCCAAAATTTGCTGGATTTCATCATTACAACAGCGCTGGAACAGCCACGCACGCCGCTGTTTTATGACGAAAAGGGGAAGGCTGTGCATCTCATGGAATACCTGGAGAGCCACGGTGTGACGGATCCACGTGAACTGACCGTTCATGGGCTTGGGATGCAGCCGCCGCACCACAGAAATAAGTTCCAGTACTACAACGTGCTTGATACAAACCTCAATCCCTCTGGAAAATTTGGCGCACACCTACTGCAGGCTGTCTTCTCTACAAATGGACCGAAGGAGGGAGATCTTTTTGGTGCCCTTATCCGTCCAGAGTTGGAGAAACGGGAGTTTAAGGACCGACAGGTGGTGGCGACGGAGATACTCCTCTCTTTTTATGGACAAAATGCCGAGGAATTACAGAGACTTGCGGCGTGGGTGCGGCGACAGGGTTTTAACTCATTTGAGATGAACATGTGGACATTATGTATCCCACGCTCCGCACCACTGCGTGGGCCCAATGAGCAGCCCGTGACATGCGTTACTTTTGGAGACCAGTTGCGCCATATCTTTTACCCCATGTTTATGGCAACTCTTTACCCCACGGATCCCGCATGGGCGGATGTGGCAGCATTATTACGCAAGACCGGTGCGATCAGCATTTCCCCAGAACGCATTTGCCACGCTGAAAACCTTTTGACAGATGCTCTGGACCCGGATGAGATAAAATATGAAGACGTTGTCAATGATCACTGCTTCTTTTAACACATTTGGGCAAATTTGGTCTCACTAAATGCC